CATATATACTGATGACTGATTGAGGAATCAACTTAGAATCTTTCACAAGCATTCATCAATATGAATTGCTTGTAGGCGAAACACAAGTGAAGTAGAAGAGCGGAAGCATAATTGTAGGACAGTAGAGAAACAAATAAAACAGGGAGGGGAATAATTTCTTGCTGGTAGTTTGACTGGAAAAGTGATCTCCAGAAACCACACGGAAATTCATCCTACCATAAATAAAGGATGTTTCTGAAATAACAGCTAGAATACTGGAACCATTCGGAGTAGATATCGCAAACAAACCAAAAAAATCAACCATTCAATAGTATGCATAACCGACAGCAAAAGAAGACAAAACCAACGCCATGTACAAAGTTAATTGCATGAACTGTGGTAGTCCTCCTCGACTCCGAATTCAAGAAGATAAACTAACCAACCCTGAAAACACACGACATGCATTCTTTCATATCGATGCATGCAAAGAAGTATGCACACCAATTCGGGACTGAGAAGAAAATGTAGACATTTTGGACAGTGGAAATGCCGAAAATACCAGAGGACTCCTACTAGCTTTGCACTCAGCTGATGAATCATCGATCAACAGACACATTATTTGTAATAGATCAAATTTATCAACTAACAGAAAATAAACCACATGACAAAAAGTGTGGAATTCCAAGTGAATAAAAACGACCAGCGCTCCTGTAAATTGAGAACCGATCACGAGAAAGGCTGTCAGGAGATGCATCTATGTCATTCATGGAGAATCTAAATAAGTTCAACTCCCATTGAAGTTTGGGCTGAAGATTTCGTCTAGAATGACAATGAAAGCTTGGCAGTAAGGCCAACCAACTGACAGAACGCAACCACATCGAAATCATCCCTCTGAGCTACAAATATGCTATTTTACGTCAAAAGTAGACATAATTTATCTGAAACATGTGATGTATTCGCGCATCATATTACTGATGTCCTCGTCACACACGTATTTGTTTTACATATCTATGAGAAAGATAAATGAGTGTTTGGTGGAAATTGAATGCTTAGGCTTTGAGATCACAGATAAGAAATAAGAAAGCATAGTAGAGAAAAATGGTTGTGAGAGTATTCTTACGTGAAATAAATGTTGGTTGGTGTTAGTGTTTTGGAAGGTAAGTCGGTGATATCAGATAGTTTTAATAGACCAATCAGTCCACCGAGAATGAAGTTTATTTATCTTTATCGTTCAAGGGTAATCAACAAAGTCTGATGACTGAACAGAGACTCAGAGCGGTATTCAATAGAACTAACTCACTACTACGTAGAAATTACTGTTGTTTTGTGAACCTCTACAGCATCTGAACTATAGTGTCACATCCCACTGTGCCTACCAATTCACACGTGTGTGATGACATGTACTAGTTGGGGCTACAGAACACACTCCTTAGTGGCAGCAAGAACAAATAAAATCGCCTCATTCACTTGACCCTGGAAACAGATACACGGAACATCATGGAGACTATTCATATGGTTGATTTCAGTAGCGCCATTCAACCCATATATAAAACAGATTCAGATTATACGCTTGAAGTCAAAGCTTTTTCGCTTGTTCAAAAGTAGTTTTCTGTGACTTTGAACCTGCTTTGTTAATTCGATTTTAACGCGAAGATTTAATTTCGCGTAATAACATTCTCACCCTCGTTTCACCTACCTCTTCTTTTCTCTTACCTCTGATGTGTGATCTTGACGTCTAGACATTTGATTCAATTTTGATCCGACGCACTCTGTTAACGACTACATAAATATGCATACGTCAAGTACATCTGTATTCGGAATAGTCTAGATGTGTTATGCGGAAGCATTACACGTTTAAGTTGAATCATTTTTTATTATTATTATCGTCATCATGATCATCATTATTTTGTTGAAATTCATAAATGGAGCCAGTTGCTTCCAACTTCCTCAGTAGCAGTAAAATTTGAGCATCACTCCGAGCCATGTCACTGGAATTCTTCAACCACTTATTCTGTAGAATGTTGCTGAACCCAGACCAATAAACATAGTTCCTCACGTGACTTAGAATAAGGCGCAGAAGCTGAATGAATTCAGAGTGTGTTCTGGTTTAACCTTGCCTAACATTCTTTCAACTAGCAGTGTTAGGCAATGTAGGTGGTGGCTCAATAAGCGTAACATGTGTCGTCGTCACCTGAATGAGTGGAGGTTCCCAACCTAGTTGACATATTTGTCATCCCTACCTGAATGTTGACGTGATGTGTACTCGACTACTACTACTAATACTGTAACAACAGAAGACTAGTGTTCATATTTTCTCACGACAAATCTTGAGAACGTAAACGTTGACGTAAATTACTGTCTACCAATTTGGCTAGTAGACAGCTCTCAGCACACTACTACTACTACTATTGCTACCAAATGTAGTGATGCGGTTAGATATCCTATGGTTGACAAATTATGGAAACACTGAATTTGGCGAGATCCATCTGAATGACTATCAGAATACAAGGCTGTAAGTCGAATCACTGAGAATGCGTGAGTGGCATTGTGATGAATATATAAAGAGTTTTAGTTGAAAATTTGATAAGGATGCTGAGCTGGTTCTAGAATGTTTGAAATCTTAGAGATATGTGGTCACGCAGCAACATATGAGAGATGGTGCAGCCAAGAATCTGTTCATTAGACTTTTACTACTCATGAGTAACTAGCATTTTTAGCACAAGTTGTGTACATTTTCATTTGTTGTTGCTCCACCAGATGACGAAATGTGTACAATTCTCTGGTGGCTGGTTCCAGTCTTCTGACAACACAAGTTTCAACTTCACTTCCAGTTATTCACAAATGCATAAGTGTTAACAAGCTGACATACAGTCAAGTCATCTCAGACAGTTGAACTAACACAGTAAGAGTCATTTTACTTGTTCACAGTATCTACCTTCAGTATATCGCCTCATTTATTAGTGTTAGATTTGTGCTTACAGTGTCAGCGATGATGACTCTGATGTTGGAGATAACAGTGATGATAACAGCCTTCCTACTTGAAATGTGTTTTTCGTGGATTAGTTACTCATTCAGACTCAGACCATGTGATGACTGCTTGCAGATTTCCATTGTTATCTGTCCAGATACTACAATTAGATCTACTCCATTGAAATTTGTTCTGTCATTAGCTTATGGAATATAACTGATCAACGTCTTTCACCAATGAACTCTCGTAAAAATCTCTTCAGTGGAACCTTTAATGATATCTTGATCACAGTTTTAGTGTATTCAGTTGAGAAATCACGAGAAACTAATATCCTAGGTTACGCCGTTAAGCAACAACAAATGTGTGACTGAAATGAGTGACTCAGCTAAAAAATTAGACTTTCCACTGATTGTTGTGTTCAGTGCACAAAACGTCGATACCACGTGATTGATGGCAATGAATTCATGGGAAAATTTAGTATCACAAGAAGTAATCACGGATTGAATGCTTCTCCTTTGATTTCATCACCTCCAAGTTGACATAAGCTTCCTGAAATTTGGCGAATATGTCTTCCCTATGATAGCTAGCAAACACATAATCTTTGATTTACTTCATCTCTTGTCAACTATCTGAGCCCACATATTTAACACCAAAGTGAAATTTATCGATTACGAGAATTGATCAGAGTGAAACAGATGGAGATTCTGTTAATTGTTTGTGCGTCATGGTGAGATAATAATAATTTGTGGCTAGTCGAAAACTGCTTTCTCATTGTCTATGATTGCATAAAACTGCAGCACGAAATTCCACTCGGAACTGAAGTAATCAATTATACTACTGATACTTCTACAACAACAACAACTACTTCTACTACTGTGGCGAGTGCTACTGATACGATTTATCAATAGTATATGAGGAGACGTTCATCGGAACAAAAATTCTCAAATAGCGGAGAGATAGATTTGACGTCAAAGAGACCAGATGAAGCAGCGTTGCGATACAGTATAGGAGTGAGACAGGAAAAGAAGAAATAGGGACACAATAGGAGAAGCAGAAGTAGCAAGCACAACACGGAGGATCTGTGCAAATGACGACTTATGGATAAGGTGTACATAATTTCGCTATATGGAAATGAGAAATTCCAAATAGACATTCCTTCACGAAACTGCTTGTCTTCTACTGTTACAATACCGCTTTTGTGAAAACTATGAAAATAGGCTATCAAGAATTAACTGTCATTGTAATGAAAGTGCATCAGTTGAAAGTGAATTTCGAAATTGAGTAGCTTGGTTTCAATTCCTCAGGCTTCTTCATGTTATACAAGTCACTGTTCAGTTTGGTGCAATCGAGTGAGTATTACTCGGAAGTAATAAGTAACTAAATAAATGGAGAAGTTACTTCGAATAGCTATTAGAGAGAATCGATTGTATTTCCATCGAGTAGTCACTCACTAGTTTCTACTCGTCAGTGTGGTTACCACTCTCAGGTACTCGCCAATTTGACACATCTGGAACTGATGTTAGGTAGTTGAAGCCAATAAGCAGAGAGCCCTACAGCTTGGTTTCATATTTATTGGTACAGGTCAGCAAGGAAACCGATGTTTCCTGAGAAACTCGAACTCAGGTTATTAATTAGTGCAGTCACAGACGTTACCACTGAGCTGTTTACGCCCTTCAGTAATTACTCGTTACACCAGTTTTAAACAGTCAACCTACGAGTGTCTACTGCATACCCTTCAACGAACAAATGAGTGTTATCCAGCTTCAAATGAGTTCAGGAATTCAATTTTCACTGGGAAAGTTTTTTGTTTTGTTTTGTGAAATTTGTGAGTCGCACAACTCCCACTACGCATGATACCTCTCGAAATATTTGTTGTTATAACAATTGCAGTCAGTGTCTGTGATAAGTGTGTTTAAATACTGAATCTAAACTATTGGTTAATTGCTTTAGAAGGTGAGGTATTTTTATTCGCAAACATGGTGATCACATGAATATGAAAGTGATGTATTCTTAGAGTATGTGTTTGCCAAACAACGAAGACAAGTAGTTTTATCTTACACTAAGACACGTCTCTCCTTATAAAAGCTTTTAGTGAGTAAATTTTGTTTTTATGTTTTATACACTTCACCTTTCTGTTGCTTTATAATTCAGCATCGGAATCATTTATCAGTTGTGTTATTTCCATGGAAGAATTATATTACCTCTAATTAACCAGAAGTGAACGACTACTGTGATTTTGCATCAACCAGATTCATACTTATCAGTCATCTCCGTTGTTTTAGTCGAAAACTACACATTTACTGGGACTGTTACTATTGGTTTGGATAGAGTTGTTTTTATGGATATTCCTGCAACTGTTTACACACCTTACTGTTGATTTCAAAGTGTGTTGTAAATTAACAAACTTGGTGTTGGAAGTTTACGCTGCATAGGATTGTATTTCAGAAAAACAGTACACTATCTGCATGTTCGTTTCAGTTTTGCTCTAGAATACAGGAGATAATACAAACTGATCTGTATTCCGTGATGGTTTTACTGTTCCTACATTCTGATTGAAGAGGGAGACAAACATGCAGTCTGTTCGCCATACTTTTGGAATCTGCATGGATTAAGAAAGTAAGCTAAAATGGAATAATTTCGCTATGTACACACTATCTACTATAAAAATAGGATGGATAATAGAATAAAAATTGATGAGAATTTCGGTATTTTTTCGGCTGATAAGAGTTTAATATATTCTCATTTTGTATGCTCCTTAATATTTCAAAATCACATTCAGATACTCGACAGTTTCACATATAGCTCAGAATAACAGAGATTTCATACGCAATTTATATTCCAACCAGATCATTTAGTGCAGACAACAATCTTATTGACTGGCAGTATATCTTCACTTTACCTTTCAACTCACTATCACTCATACCGTTGAGTCTATCACACAAGTAATTCCCCATTCTTCCTATATTTCACTTCTGACAGCTGTGTCACAAAACTGCAGAGTGAAACTTGGAGAAGCATTTTAAAGTACAGCTGTCCTTTGACAGACGACTATGTTACTTGCCAGAATCAGTAGTGGTACGAATTGATAAATCATAAAATCAATGAAATCTTACCAACAACTTCATTATGATTGGTGAGACATTCCATTTTAATGGTCAATGAATTCGATTAGTGTAGTGTCTGCAACGTGAAATTACCATACTCAGCTATACCGCATTATCCTCTAATTAACTGCTCTGAACAGTTATATTATACTTCGCAAATGAGGAAAGCGTGCCAAACACACTCTCACTATAAATCGTGGAAACATCAGATCTTTAGTAACTTTAACATTATAGAAATACAATTTCTGAATACCGTAGGTCAATTTAATGTTGGATGACAAGAGTGTGAATCTCCCAATAGGGATCTACCAGTGACTACCTCTACAGATGCGAAGCAGTGTCACGGGAACTGATTATAGTTTTTCTTTGTCTATCCAGCATTCAAGTAAATTATTTTAAATTACCTTTTTAATTTTTTAGATAAAACAACATCTTACAGAGGTCCAAAAAAGCATCCAGGTTATTTAGTAGACGCAGAATATTTCTAATGCCCTGAGGGCAAATTTGGTTATATTTGATTTGCTACTCCCTTCATTTGAGTGCCAGACCATATAACAGACCACACACCGAGTTCTAGTTTATTGAGAGATATGAATGGTTGATCGTGTTTACTATTGAACTTGCTTGAGAGTTTCCATCAGTCCTAATGGAATAGTTCTTGACAAAATCATTACACGGACACAAAAACCTAGCCAGCTTGAGTTGTATTTAAGATATCTGCTAACTTATAAAAAAGATATTTCTATAATGAAGACGTTTGCTTTGTTTTCCTTTGAAACTGTGAGACATAGTTACTTCAAGTCGGATATATGCTTCTGTGCCATTCATAGCTGAGACTAGATGGAGGTAACGCGGAGAGTAATGTCATGGTGAGAATTGGAATCTTTGGTGAGAAATGTTAGTGAACCAAAGAAGTTCGCATCTTTGCTGTTATTACAATTCTATTTTTGTTTAAAATGTTCAGTGTTTGACGAATGTTGATGATGATAATACTTGTACAACTTAATGTTTCTGAAATATATAGCTGATTTATTTCGCATGCATAAAAACCATAAATTGCTTCCACTCTAACTTTTCTATATAACAGTGTGGATTTCTAATTATCATATTAATTTTCACACTTCTCAGAAATGAGGATGTTCAAATCTTCGAATAGTAAGTCCTGATAAAGTATTTTGAAAATGTATAACTGTAATTCATAATTTTATGAAGTGTTGATTATAAATCTTCTGACTTCTGTTTAGTGCATAATTAACTACTTAATGAAATATTAACAAGTCTATCAAGTTGATGAAAGATTTTCATGGTCATCACTGTTAACCCAGTGACACACTCCACTTACACTTGTTAACTTGAAGAAGATAAAAGTGTGACGAATACAACTTAAGGATTTCGGTTGTATTCTTCTCTACACTCTACCTAACTTCCATGAGTCATGCACAGTCAAAATTTACGTTCTGACAACATTGAAATATCACTCAACGTGATAAAATTTGTGGTAATATTAAAGCAATAATAGGTTGCATCAAAAATACTAAATTGCATTCTAGGTCTAGCTAAATTTTTATGTTCCAGTAATCTAGTTGACCTCGATCTACTAGTTTCACCTATGTAATCGACCTCACAGTCATTACATGGAGTTCGCTAAATCATATTATTCTTCTTAATTGGATCTATTGGGTCCTTAAGCCGACAAAGTTTATCTCTAAGAGAGTTTGTTGGTTTAAATGCCAGCCCGACTAATTCTAGCCTCATCAAGAATCCCAAGTAAGGCCTTTGACTTTCCTACTTTACACAGCAGTACAACAAACACTTTGCATTCTATATTATTTTCGTCATTTTTATTGCTAACCTTATTTTTTCTATGGTTCCTCAAATATTTCTGAATAAATTCTCGTGGGTAGTTATTCACTAGTAATATTTCCCTCATTTGTTTTATTTCATTATTTAAATCTTCTGGTCTACTAGTTAGGCTCTTGGCCTGATTCTAAAGACACTTAACTAAACCTATCTTTACCAATTCTGGATGGGATGAATTAAAGTCTAAATATTTATTAGAGTGTGTCGGTTTCCTATAAATGCTAGTATCTAACCCGCCATCTTGTTTTCGTTTATTCTACAGTGTAGCATGGCAAAATATACATAAGACAAATTGTGAAACCGTCTGACTAAATTGATATGATTATGAGCAATAATGTATTGCTCGAAACGTCATCCAGTTGTCACTACTGCATCACTGTGTGATGTTGAAAATAAACTTATTTAATGTGGAATTACATTCCACCACAGTGCCGGAGTTCTACACTTACATTAAGAAAAGAAATGATAAGTGATGGCTCTCTGAGGATATCTGGAAGTTGGTAGTGAACAGAAGGTGAACCAGTGCGGAGATGAACGACGAGTAGAGAGGCTGAGTAAAACCTACACAGTACTGATCGAAGGAGTGAAAATGAGTGCTAAGATAGACACTATAGACTTTTACAATAGACTGACAACGGAAGCAGAATAGTTTGCAAGTAGGAGAAACCTCACAACATCATATCAGATAATCAGGTAGCTAACAGAGAAGAGATCAACAATAGCGAAGGATAATAAAGTAAACCAAATCACCAAATAGGTGAGACAAAATAAACGCTGGTCTGATCACTTCTGATGACTCTTGAATCGATGACCACCTACAGCTCGTTCAGTATTCTGAGAACTGGCAGTTAACTTTCCGACAAAAGAAGGAGTTTCCAATGCCATAAAGTTACTGAAAGCCTGAATAGAAACAGGATTAGATTGGATTTCCCCAGAAAAACTGGAAATAGACCAAAAGAGACCCCAGTGGATATGTTTATGCCACTACGGGAGACGGTTTCGAAGGGAGGAGAGGTACCCACAGATTGGAAGTGGAAGCACCTTGTTAAATTACTAGAGAAGAGCGACTTGGGACTTTGCATGAGAAGCGCTGGCATGCGAAGTAAGACAAGGCTGACTTCTATTACTAATGATCTTCCTGACTGTGGTGGACTGGATTCTGCCACAGACCACAGGGAATGAGAAAACAGGATATGACGGATGGTTTATTTCTTATATCTCGCGAACTCAAAGACAAACGTGTCAAAGCCAACAAGTTGGCAGAGGAAGAAGGAGAGGCAGGGCTCCAGGTGAACATAGAGAAGACAGTGGTGATGAAGACACATGACCAGCAAACAACACCAATTACCACCAGTGGGAGAGGTTTGAAAGAAGACGTCTCATTCACTAAGCTGACTTAGAAAGCATTCTTTCAACTATGTGTGACACGGATGGAGGTTTCAAAGCCGATAAGGATCAGTGAAGCAAGACAAGAGTTGACTACGCCACACTCACCACGTGGCTACACAGCACTCTAAACAAGGAACCAGATTTAAATTCTCAACACCAGTGTCAAGTCGGCGCTTCTGTGTGATTGACACACTTGCCATGCACGTCACTGGAAGCATTTCAAGCGGGCTGAAGACTTTCCTCATCACCTGCCTCTTTGCTCGATACTGAAGATCACATGGCCGGACAGAAGGGGTAAGCAGCGAGGTACTCTCACAGGTAGCAAAGCAGCCAGCATCCTATCTTCCAATAAATCAGTAGACCCTTGAGTGATACTACACACTATATTCTCAAGTGACTCCAGGCGTCCAAGGCTGATATCGTGGAGGAAGTGAAAGCTTGTATGCAGACTCGGAGTTAGTTGAAAGCGATGGTAAAGAACCGAGTTGAATGGAAGTATGCTACTCAAGCCCTATATTGTACTCGGAAAACCTGAAAAATGAATAACAATGATGCTGATAACAGTCTTCGAAATTTCGACTATGTTAGCCACTGTTCATGAAATTATTCTCCCTGCCATCATATATGCTTATTTGCTGTGCTGTTGTTTTGCCTTTTTTCTCTCTTACTGTACTTGTGTACATTGAAGTCAGATAACTCAAACTGATGGATATTTGGTTAATTTCCAAACTAACTCATTAATCAATCAATATATTTGTATATATTTGTCCTTACTGTCATAAGATTTTGAATAATTTAGCATGAAATTAATGTATAGATAATAAATGTAGGTGTTTTTTTCTCGCATAATATTTCTTCGTATTGTATGCATATACTCATTTTCTTACAATTTGAAGTGTGGAGAGTGCACAACAGTCACAGAGTTAAATAATACATTAGTATGAGCATGAATATTGTCATCAAGTTAAAAGTAGAGAGAAAACTTTAAGGTCACTAACATCTATGAGGATAGTTACTCTAATACTCTACACGAGACACTAGACAAACCTGTAAATTGTCCAGAAGTATACGTGTGATCTAAGCAATCGAAAAATAGGTGAGTAAAGATTTATAATCACCTTAAATATATTTTAGTTCATTTGAATACTATTGTATTATTGGTGAATATGTTCAGCGGTTGACGAATGTTGATGATGATAATACTTGTACAACTTAATGTTTCTGAAATATATAGCTGATTTATTTGTCATGCATAAAAACCATAAATTGCTTCCACTCTAACTTTTCTATATAACAGTGTGGATTTCTAATTATCATATTAATTTTCACACTTCTCAGAAATGAGGATGTTCAAATCTTCGAATAGTAAGTCCTGATAAAGTATTTTGAAAATGTTTAACTGTAATTCATAATTTTATGAAGTGTTGATTATAAATCTTCTGACTTCTGTTTAGTGCATAATTAACTACTTAATGAAATATTAACAAGTCTATCAAGTTGGTGAAAGATTTTCATGGTCATCACTGTTAACCTAGTGACACATTCCACTTACACTTGTTAACTTGAAGAAGATAAAGGTGTGACGAATACAACTTAAGGATTTCGGTTGTATTCTTCTCTACACTCTACCTAACTTCCATGAGTCATGCACAGTCAAAATTTATGTTCTGACAACATTGAAATATCACTCAACGTGATAAAATTTGTGGTAATATTAAAGCAATAATAGGTTGCATCAAAAATACTAAAACACCTCAACAGTGACGTCAGGCAACTATTCAGTTCCAGTGTTTCTCAGATGCAAAGTTGATTAAGCAAACACAACTGTGAAATACTGGAGAATCAACAAGAATCTTCTCAACGAAATGGGATCGAAATTCTGTTCTCCATAATCAAAGAGAACAGGACACCTTCTCTGTGGACAGTTCAAGGGAAGGCATCCACTGCATGGCGCGACGTTGAGTTTACTCAAACAAAATCACACAATAAAATAACACATTACTGTCAACAGTTCTGCGCTGAACAAGAGCTATGTGAAGCATTTAAAATAGGAATAAACCAGAAGCAAACAAAAATTGTAAGGATTAAGTCAAAAGGAAACATGCAAATGGTAGAATGATGATACTCTGGTCAGGAGTAAGGGATGATAATTACAAGGTTAAATGAAATACTGAAGTAAATATCAAATGTTTAAGTAGATTGTTCAGGAGGAATGTTCAGACTTACCATTCTGCTAGAATAAGTGTGCATGGAATGAATCATACGTTAATCGGGACCGAATTCACATCACTTGCGACAGCATCTTTGACGAAACTAGGAAGAAATGTGGTGTCTGGTGGGTTAATACACATCTTCATTTACACTCATTCTGTCTGTCTTTGTTACGATGTATACGAGAATGAAGAAGAAAGATTTATTCAATGAAGAGTGATAGTCAGCAGTTGGGATTTTCAGAGAATTCAACGCCTGATAATCTCTATACATAATGTAGTTCTATAAAAATTAGTTGTAAGCTAGGGAATCTATAGTTTATCTAATAGTGCAATGTGGACTGAAATGGCTGTAGCAATAAGTACCTTCAAATATCGAATTCGAAGTGCCAAAATATCACTATTGTTAGACAGGATAGTTTAAATTAGTATCCACAGTGTTCATTCATTCACACAAATTTCATCTTAATGATAGACAATCATCCTTTGTAAATCAGTGTCCTTACTTTGACAATACTGAGAGTGAACGGATACTTATTTTGTTACTCTAAACTACCATAATTCTTTCCTCACTTTGATTAGACAATGAAGTTCATGATTCCACTTTATATATGTCTTGATTCTTGTGAAATATAACCATGACAAAGAATTTCGAGAACAGGTGTATTGTGTCTTTGTTCTCATTATCTCTTGACATATGGCAGAGTAAAATTAGGTACGACCATTATTAGGCATGGAAAGTTAGATAATTATTCATTTCAACGACAGCATTATTATTCATTTGGGTTCTGGGCGGAGCATAGGGCTTCAGCAGCACACCTCCATTTTCGCTGTTCTCTGCAGTGCTCTCTAGCTGGCTCCAAGCCTGCCCACCAACTCTCATCTCCTCCTTCTGACACCATCTCCTCTATGTCACTCGAGGACTATCGACTCTACACTTTCCTTTCGGGTTCCACTCGAGGGTTTGGCGAGCGATGTCATTCAACAGCTTCGTCAACATGTGTTCGATTCGTCTCCATTCCTCTCGCCACATTTATTGAACAATAGGTTGTTGGTTGGTTTGCTCCCAAATTTCCATGTAGCTTATCCTTACTGGTCGGCCATTAGGTCTTCAGTATGCAGCGAAGGCAGCTGTTGATGAAAGTCTTCAACCTTTTGGAAATGTTTCTGGTGACGCGCCAAGTCTCCAAACCATAACACGACCGACTGTATACGAGATATTATGGATGTAAATTCTACACTACATCAATAACAGAAAATGCATATTGTCTGACAGTACCCGAAAGATGCTAATCTCCAAGAAGCATTCGGATACCCACTGCAGAAAAAGAACCGTCTAAAGAGAGAATGCGGATTGTGAAATTTGAGGAAGTTTCATCAAGGTTCTGTTTGAATCACTCAGAACCATGAAGTTCGGTCCCTGAATACCTCCGCTGGTGTTCCAGTGTTCATGGTATGTAATTCAGTGTATTCCAACAGATAACTAACAATGAATACTTAACGCACAAATGTTAACAGAGATCAAACATACAGGGAAACCATATGCTTATCGATCACATTACTCCTAACGTCTAGTGAATACTGTCGTTATCAATACATGGAAGCTCACCTTAGACAAGGATAAATGATAACAAATAAACACAGAATCCAGTTGTGCCAAGTGATAGGTGAGAAGAAGTAATACTTGTCCGCTCAGAAAAATGATGGCAGATACATGTTTCGTATTGTGTGATTTATACTGATAGGTTATCCAATGTTGTTTGCGATGAAAATATATTCCTAAAATCGACATATTCCACAGACGAAATCCATGGTGTGGAGTGCAAATTCGAGGAAATTGAAACATAAGTTGTGAATTACTCCTGCAATGCATGAACATCCTAGACTTTCTCGTCTAATTGTTTTCCATTCATATATTTTTTCAATGGTGCATGAAAATGATGTGCCACTGAGCCTAATGATAGATATGCTGAATAAGGTATACAATCTTTGTTGTTTTTGTGGTAACCAGTGATAGGAAGGTGGTAGATGAGTCACTTGTAGGCATGAAATCAGGTGAGTTCATTTGCGTTTATTGATCAGATTGTATGAGACGGAATACCAGGATAACAAAATACTTTTGATTCAGTAGATTGGCAAATAAGGTGGATGTTCAAACTAAATCACTTGGCATTACAGATTTTCGGATTTGTGGACATTGAGGCAATTTTAATCTAGATTTCGTTACAAGTCAACTTCGGTCAGAGAAGCACTGAAAAACGAGGAGCATCAAGACTCTAGCAGGACTATTAGAATTCAATGTGGAAGTCTGCAGGACTTGGACGAAACAGCCGTCCAATGCTCTTCTGTTTCCACTGATTGTCCAATAGTTGTCGGTTTGTGATGAAACATATACGGAAATTTCACACTTGTTTACGAGTGAAACCATGTAATATATGCAAAATTGCTTTCAGCTGTAGTGGTAAACAAAACAAGGTAAGGCTATGAGCAAAATTATTGATGACAATTTGTAGATTTAAGGAAGTCCCTATCTGTAACAGATAAATTTTGTGAAATGAAGTCTCACTGTTTGAGTCATGAAGTTCTGTCTGTTTTGATCGACGTTTTCTGAAACAATTAGTCCATCTGACAAGTTTAAATGAGGCATTCAGAAGACAAGTATGCAATGGCGCAGTAGTGAGAATTGTGATTGGACTAATCTTTGGTACAGTCAAAACATCTGTTTTAACCAAAATAAGCTTCACACTAATCATTGAATATTGCTGACATTCTTCTTCAGTATACTAATTTAGAACATTGTTTTCTCAGGTAGAAATGTTAGAAAATCGATTTTGGCCTTCTCCGTGGGCATTTGCACTACCCTACTGATAATAAAACTGAGTGCATCATTTCAATCCGAATCGCGCTTTTATACAAACTCAGCACAAAATGAGAAACCAGATGATAATCCTCGCCATCTGCCGCTGATATTCATTGGAGGTCACCAAAGTTCAGGTAAATAATTTCGTTGTACCAATGCGCGTTATTTCTTATGACTTTATGGGATGCTTCAGGCATGTCTGTAGATTACCTGTAGAATATTGGGGATATAGTGGAATTTGGTCTAAACGTATTATACATTATTGACCTGACATTATTTGAAAGATAGTCAGTGCAAATACTGAATTATTCTGTAAGGAATTGAATGCCTTCAATCTAAATCCCGTTGTGAGTATGGGAATCTTAACCTACATTATCCTAATTGTTTAATTGGAGACACTGTGTCGTTTGTGGGGATTCGGGACTAATTTCAATGTAAACTCGAAACCTCACAGCACTAGTTGGCTGCTTCGTCGTATTTTGAGACTGTTGAGTAGTGTGCACCCACGACCCATCGGGGATTCCGATCCACTGACTGCACAGTGGTTAGGACTCTCGCCGACCATGCACATGTTTCGGGGTTCGACCCAGTGACGACGCACACCTGATATCTATGGTCGGCCTGTGAAATTTGGGCTACCGAAATCATATGCTGAAAAAATTCCATACTTGTACCAAAAATACTGTGTGGTCTCAAGCTATAATCAAAATTGTCAATGGGCCTGCCTCATAATCTGAAGTTGCTGGACTCGACTCCTGGTGGTGTCTTAAGTGTGCACTGTAAAGAGTCTCAAATTAGGACGAACCAACTGTTCAGTGCTCTCTTGTTTCCAATGACTCTCTAACTGATATTGGTTCATGATGAATTCGACAGTGAAATTATTTATGGCTTCGTCGATTCATTTATTGTGAGAAATTTGGATTCTACTGAATATCCCCTTGAACAAAGTATATTCACCACCAAATGTTGCATTCACATACTGTGTGGTAGGACAGTCCAAATGAACAGTCAGAGGGATTAAACACGTGATCTAGTACATCTTCCACTCATATGCTACAAGAGTTGAAAATCAACCCATTTAACTTAAACTGGTACTATCCAGCCTGTTTGATTTTGAATCAATCACTGGTTACAATGTAGCACTGTTTCATCATTCCTTAAGCTTGTTATTGTTACTTAGATTGAAAACGTTTATCAAATTAGTTCAGCCTCAATTCTGAAATCATTTTCATTTCTATTTCATGACATTATTTTGAAATAGAACAAAAAATTAATTTACTGTCAAATTATAAAGTACAATATTGTCAGGTATACACCAGGTTGGACATTTCTCTCAGCAAAGATAGCAAACGTTGACTTCAGTATGAGACAGTCCTTGGAAAAGTGACAGTCATCATATTCTGAATACTTTGCACTTCAGATAGTTTAAACTCACTAAGCTTAAGTAGTTCAGTCATCTTCGATAATGTTGATGAGGTAGTAAAATCACAACATACTTTTAAAGAGACATAAAATGGGAACTTCACTCCACTGAGAATTTTAATCAAAGAAAATATGACAACAACGCAGTCAATGGAATAGTTCTAAACAATTGCATTCTACCACAGGTAGAGAACCAAAAAATATATAGCAATTTATTGTAATGGTATAAGAAAGAAAATTGTTCTAAGTTCTGAAAAAATACACTGCAGTCGAAGGTTAGTTTAAAGTCAGTCTCTCCAGGGCCAAAACAAACGGGATTTCACTCTGGCTTTGTACAACTGATTACTAAATTTATTAGCTCAGAAAGGGAAGAGAAGACACAGATCGAGGTCAGTGCAGAAAACTAGGTGTGAAAAGAACTTCATTTTCAAAGACAGTAATAACAATAAGAACAACAGTTTTATTCTGGACAACATTTTACCAAATAATACAGAATTTTCAGTGTATTTACATTGCAGAATATCTACTCATCGAACAGGAACTTCAAGTAAGATGGTATTCATCAGTAGATAGTGTGATGCTGTGTCATTCTATCTGAAGCAATATTAGATCCTCTACGATATTTCCCGTCATTCTCTTTGAGAATTGCACCGCATTACGTAGAGAGCACACTTAACATATGTGTGAGTTCACTTAGAGGTCGAAAACCGTAATTAGATGAATAAACTCTTACAAATGAAGAGGAGTTTATGCATTATACTGATTAGAGATTTAGATAGACCAATGATTGAAGCAGACCACCCAAAATTACTAACAACCTAAGCTGTCGTATCATCGTCCCATCACAGTCATTATATGACTGATTTCACACTGTTTTCCTCAGAAACTACCATCCGTCTTTATTCCTTTTCATTCTTCTTTTCTTGATGATGATGACTACTAGGTACTGGTTTATTACGCATCCTTATGGATATTCATCCACTGGTACGATGTGGGCCAGAGCCGATTGTTACCAGAGAAATTATTACATACAGATTATCAAAAAATCGACAAAATGACCGGCTCCTTCAGTCTGGAATATCACAGGATGTATTAGACAATGCAGTGGCTGGTTTCATCGTGTCAATTTTACAGAATATGGGACCTCCTGCTGAAAGACTATGTCACAAGGATCCTGGATCGTATTTTTACTTAAAGTATTTAGGTGATTTATTTCAAAACGCAAAATTTATTCACATTGTACGCGATGGCAGAGCAGCTGTAGCGTCTACGATAGCGTAAGTTAAATCATAAAATTTGATGTGGTAGGCAAACCAGAGTTGTGAAATTAGTAGCCGATGGTTTTCAATTCATTTTCTAAATGCTGACATGTTCACCTCCCAAATGGATAATCTTAGGCTGGACGTCTTCAAGATCCATGCATGCGCACTACTGAAAAGTAGGAAACTAAGACGAACCACGTATTCAGCACTCCTGGGCTCCTAACAACTAGTGAAACGTCTAACAAATGCTTCGTTTCATCATAATGCACCACACTAAGTGTTGATCGATTACAACTTATGCTGAGAGATCATTCAATGTCAACGTCAATCTGACTATCCACAACTGCTGACTGATTAATTTCAAGTGTATTTTCGTCGTCACCAACACTCTGAGTGATATGATACTAGTGATGTGCTGCATTTCCCGTTGTTTTACTTCTAAAAATAATTATCGGGAAAATGGTTTACACAGGATTTCACATTTCGTAGCATCTATGAGCAAGTTTATGGTGGAGATAACAAACACGGATACTTATTCTAATGTAGTGATCAGTTTACAGTTTAACTCCTAAGCTAAATATGAGACAGTATTACCAAATTTGACGTGCTAAGTACCCTTATGCCAAATCACATCTCGATCCTGATTGAAGTCATGGTAATTAGTTTCGAAATGGAAGGGAACGAGTGTTCTCATGATGCTTGAATTTCGGTGATCTTATACATACTTCTGAGTAGTTTTCAGACTTCTGGTATAAATAGGAGTAATTCAGAAATTAGAAGTTGTGTACTCGACAAAAGAAGTAGTATGCATGAAAGACAACATGGTTCTCTAAAATCGTATATTTACATATAAATGACAAATCTTAATTTTTACTTCATTTGATTTTAGCCGTAAAATAAATCCACAGTTCCGTTCAGACAATATCACACAAGCACTTAAGTATTGGGAAGCTTTCACTTCACATGTAATTAGTGACTGTGAATATATTGGAAGGAATCGATGTTTAACTATTCGTTATGAATGTCTTGTTTTAAATCCAAAAGAGGAGATTTCAAAACTACTCAGTAAGTGTGTACTTTAGACTGTTGTGTTGAAAGCACTTGATGATGCACCAGTTTTGGGATGTTGTCATATGAGATTCTGATGGGAATCTGGATGTTAAGATGTTTTGCTAAACTCTCTTCATAAAACCCTGAAATCCAAATTACACATGTATCAAGAAGATGAGCTGGTCCTCTAAAATCTGGAAACATTTATTCCCTAGCCAGGTTAAGCGTTTGTGAACAAATCACAAGTTAACGTGCTAGGTGGTTGTGTTTAAGGCGGTAACCATGTAAACTATACTATTTAAATGTTATGTCAGTTATTTCAATCTCCAGGTACTTCGTCATCTCTTCTGTGAATGTCAGCATGTTATCACATTAGCAGCTTATTCAATAATCTGCAAATTGTAGCACAGATATTTGAATAATATATAGAGGAGAATAAATCCTCAGTTGTTAACTGGACTATCTCAGACAGTCATTGTTGATAAACTCTCTTTTATATCTGCTGGTTAACTTTTGGTAGTTGGGTGAAATTAGCAGGATGTCTTGGATCTAGGTTTCGTGCCTACTGGCACCCATCAGCTTGGTGTATCCGCAACGATGTAGGCATTGATTTCTCCTCCGAGATCCGAATCCACCTAATGCGGTACTTTTGTCAGAGATTTGCTCAACGAATGAAGTTCTGGAGAAACAACTCAGACATACTCTTTGTGTGAATCAATATTACTTACTAACTTCGATTGTAATGTCCATCAGTCTGTCAACCAATGATATTCATGACTGAAATTTATCAAAATGTTGCACTCACTCCCAAGTAAAATACTAAGCCGCATCATCCTGGAGAGAATCAAACACCCCCTGAATGAAAATTTTCGACCAGAACAGGCTGGATTCAGGAGAAACAAGTCATGCATTGATCAAATCGCAACACTACGGATCATCATTTAACAGAGCTTGGTGTTGCAGTCGATTGAGAAGGGATTTGGAAAGTACTTCGCTACTTCGGGGTATCGCCAACAATTATACACCTCATCCTACAGCTGTACGACAATGCTACATGCCAAGTAATCCACAACGGGAAACCCATGTTATACTTCGAAGTGAAGACGGGAGTAAGACAAGGCTGGCTGGCTGCCTTCTATCTCCAATGATTTTCCTGATTGCGGTAGACTGGAGAATGCCACAGACAGACAGAGGGCTGAGCAACGAAGAGACAGGCATAAAACGGACCCACACAAAATGCTTGGAGGATCTGGACTTCGCCGATGATATATGTCTGATTTCCCACAAACTGGAAGATATGCAAATGGAAACCTACAAGTCGACAGAGGAAGAAGCATCAAATATAGAACTTCAGGTGAGCATAGAGAAAACAGAGGTGATGAAGATTCCTGGCCAGCAGTCACAGAAACAACAACAGACAACAATCAGCATAAATGGGAGGGACCTGAGAGAAACAACCTCCTTCACCTACCTGTCTGGGAAGCATCGTTTCAACTACAGGCGAACTGAGCTGATGAGGATATCAAAGCGAGCATTGGGAAAGTAGGGCAAACTTTCATTACTCTCAAGTCTGTGTGGAGGTCAACAGGACTGACTCAGGATGAAAAATAAGATCTGGATTTTCAACTCCAATGTAAAGTCAGTGCTACTATACGGATCGGAGTCTTGGCACTGTGTCACGAAGAGTACTTCGAACAAACTACAGACTTCCATCAACAGCTGTCTTCGCTCAATACTCGAGATCAGATGGCCGGCCAGAAAGGATCAGCAACAGGGAGGGATCTTTGGCGATGAACGAACCAACCTAGCAGGAACCAACTGTGCAACAAATCTGCAGGAAGAAATGGAGGTGTACTGGCTTGACCATACTCTGAGAAAACAAACCATCAACTGAGTGACATCACACTCCAGGCAATCACTCGAGTGTATCCCGGACGGGAAGCGGCGAGTTGGTCGTCAGGGCGAGGGTAGGGTGACATGGAGGAGGTTATGTGAAGAGGAGATGAAAGCATGTGGGCAGACGTGGAGTGAGGTGGAAAGGTTGCTCAGAACCGAACGCAATGGAGACATGGCGCTGAAGCCCTATGTTCCTCTTGGAATCAAAGGAAATAATAATTATAATAATAATGATAATAATATGAACTCAAGAATTAGTATCTGCAACCATGATGAAATGCCTGTACTTCATGGGGTATGAACCAGAATTGCTTACAGACAAAGTCATTGACTTACAGAGTGATCGTAGGGTAACCCCTAAAATACAGTAGCTGGATGAACGTCACTAGAATAAAAGTAGATACGAAGTATTTCTGATGCACTAGGTCACATATACTTGCAGAAAATCATGTGAATGAAGTTTTAGACATTTAGATCTGAAGTCTGCTGCCTAAGTATGACTAAAAATCACTACATACTACCACAAACCTGCAAAATTCGCTCATTGGAACTGATAAATTTAGGAGTATCTTTTATCACAACTCGACTTTGACAATGGACGATGTAGATTAAAATGTCGAATCAGACAAATGTCATATCACGACAACTAATTCTTAAACTCAAGGTCAGATCTGCAGGTCACATATAATTTACCTGCATTTCGTACTCGATTGGTATACATCGACCAACACACAATAGGAGATCGCCACAATCACATCCACTCAGAAACCATTTCACATGCTCATGAGGTGTATAAGAAAATCTCTCACTGTCAAAGAAATATTCACTTCTTCGCTGCTCGAATACTTATCCATAATTCATAGGTTCATGTTTTTGATACTTAAGAAACTACCAACTGCAACTTGCATCACCATACTCTACCAACTTAGATAAGATACACAACCGAATTCCAGTTTTTCTAACTCGCTTATCCATGACTACTCAAGATGCTGGGTAATCATATGACACAAATGACCTCCGAACATTAGATCTAGCCCACATATCTGCAGACTCTTGCTGATTTGATCGATTTAATATGAGTTTTCTGTTTCGTAGAAAATACAATGTGTATGTTGTCTCCTATTTTAGAATTCCTTGATCTTCCATGGGATGACCGACTTCTGCAACATGAAAAATACATTCATAATGTTTCTATGTTGAACAAGTAAGTTCAATATATTTATCATATCGGTGATTGGTGATAATAGTAATAGTGACTGTGGTGAATGTACTTCTGCTAGCAAAACTAATTGGTCGATGAGGCTACACAATGCAACGTGGCTAAAAGATGATTACATAAAGAAGTGAAATCATCGACTTATTTAGCATAACATCCTCGTAAAATCTTGAGGTTAAACTGTTAATAAGCTGAACTATTTGCGTGAATTAGAATCGAATCAGATTTCCGAAGTATAGCAATTCATACTAGTCATCATGTTTTCTCTTTTTTTCTTCGATATCCCAACTTGGTAAACCTACTCCATATGAAGATATTTTGCTGTCTAACTGGTTTCAAATAGTAGACGCTTCGTAATCAACCGTCTTTGGTTTCTGTTATAAACACGTCAGTGAAACCATGATAGGTCCGTCGTCCTTCTTTTAGCCAGGGCAAATCAACAACAATTCAAATCATTTGTTCTGACAAGGGGACACGCGTATTTACGATCGACTACAAGAGAGGGGTAAGCAGATGGTCATTTATTCTCAGACAACAATATGGAAACAAACACACAATTAGTTAAGCCATAAGTCATTCGATTTTGAAGGTTGCTATGGAATTATCACCTGATCACTGGTCCTGCAAAATGTTGACTTAATGCTATGCTAGTCTGATTACTGATGAATTTAACTGAACACATTTCGATCTCTGCCCTGGTCATTGAAAAATTGGCTAACCAATATGACAGATAGTGTAAGGAGATACTTTATTCCTACTCTGCTCCACATCCTGTAATATGTCATCTGGGGAAAATATTTCAATCTCTCTTTAAGTATGTGATGGAACTCGACATTAAATGACGAGTCATTAACCACCCATTTCTCTTTTATACAATCAAATAAAAGATAATTCCTAACATCGGAATTCAAAGTGAATCGAAGAAAGAGTTGTGGAACGGATTCACTCTTATATCTGATTTATTTATTTGTTCACTGGTACAGTCCGAAAAGAAAGTGGTTGAAGAACCACGGTGGCTTTCTTGAACTTGTAGTGTACATTGTACCTTCGAACTTTTGTTTGAATGAACTCAGCCTGACCTTTAAAACCCACTTCCACTTTGTATTCCTGAACCTCCTGTACGGTTTCGGTTTCGCTCTTTCGCTGTGCTTTCACCTAGCACACTCTCCGAGCTTACACCGCCTCACCTGCAGATAAGTGTGTACCTCTTATTTCTTATCAAATTCTATATCTCTTTTGTGTAAATACAATTCTGTTCCAGTCACACTTGCCATCTCAAGTCTTTTAACCTTGATTCCGTTCGTTAGTACTTGCACGTTAGGCAGAGTACTATTAAGGCCATAAGCGATGAAGAAGTTTTGCAAGAGTGGTTACTTTTAGGTCGAAGTTAACCCAAGCCTAACTCTTACAAACTCATGATGTGTAAGTGATTTTATAATGAGATCAGAAGTGGAAAATTTCAGGGACGACTAGAATACTCTCAACTTGATAAACTGTATATATATGATTCCTTTAATGATGATGATGATGTTGATAATAATGCATGCTAACTAACTGACTGAATAATTCACCTAGACATTCTCACAGAAGTGTATCCTTTCAGTTTGCCAGACTTGTAGAAATCATGCAAAATATGAGAACTGAAACAGAACGATACTGTGGTAGACAAAATAAGTGTAATGAAGGAAATAATCAAATAAAGGTCACTGAAACTTTTCAGTATCTGTAAGATTATGAGTGGTGAATTCATTTGTGTCACTACGGATGATTTTGAACCTCCTCACAAAGATTCTTTAACTCCTTATTCTCAGGATCTCAAAGACTTCACTTAAACTATCTAAAGTTGCCCATGTAACTCAAAGTAATTGTTAAACGCAATGTCTCGGTTTAAATACTCCTGACTGTTTTTCAATTTAATCCTAATTCAGATCAATGTTCACTCATTCACTTTTCTCGGCTTTCAAATATTTCGTCATACTGAACTACTTGCATCCAGATTCAATGATTTCCATCCTTTTCTCTCCCATTTTAACTATTGTCCAAAATGTACTTTAACAGCGCGATTCCCCTTGAATATTAAATAGGTAGGCTTGCATTTAAAATTATTGCATTGCATCCAGATTCAGTGATTTCCATCCTATTCTCTCCGATTTTAACTAGTGTCCACTCATTTCCGCCATTTGCATAGTTCTCAAAGTGCTCTTTAAACAAATATCATGGAAATTGACAAGCCTACTGAACTTCAAGTCTAGAAGGAATTTACACTAGTTGGATTCTTTCTGAATATTTTAGAGTCAAAAATGATACTGGTCATTGACTGTGGTCTGAAAGATAAAAATGTAGTTTAACAGCCCGATTGCCTCTTGAATATATTAAATGGGTAGGCTCACATTTAAAATTAATGGTCTCTGGTCAGTACTGTTGGAGATAAGAGTAGTTTTAAACACTGATACATTCTCATACATTTTCAAAACTTACAAGTTATATGAGTGGAACACGAAGCACTGTGAAACAAATCTTGACAATAACAGTGTAAACTGATTTCCAATCTCCAGTGTTCTTAGCCTTCCAAGATTTATAAATGAAAATGAAGTAATTCTGAGTAGTTCTGTTATCGTTATTGAATTTTATTGAATTTTAAAGAAATATCCAACCTCATATTAAGGAAGACATTGTACTTACTATGTTAACAAAGCACTCCGAACTTCATAAGTGCTTCAGGCAATTAATTCATGAGATTCCTGAAGTAATTTGTAGATCAAACACAATAACTACTTTGGTCCGCCATTTCCTATCCAAAGAAATCTCATTAAAATCATAAAAATAAAGTGGTTTTCCATCGTACTATTCTTGAAGACATTGTAACAATTTGATAAGTGTTCTAACTGCATGTGATGATATCGGTAATCGGATAGTTTACTGAGCTTTGTATTCCCTGTTTGACTAATCTCTGATGTCTCGGGAGGAGAAATGTTCCTGATTTCTCTGAAGCTCCTAGAGTTCCATTCAAACTGTGCTGTTGTGTTGCCTTGATCAAATGCATGTCACTAGTTGTTCAGTTTTAAAGTCACTCAAATGATGAAGACTGAAAGGCTATTGAAACTTTTGCACAAAACGAAGAAAATTGCTACTTGTTAAAGGACATCCTGGACTGTAGATGCCTTCCATCGTAGTATTCCACATTTAATGGTAGGAATAAAACGGCGTGTTATCGCATAGTTCGATACCTACTAAGCATTCCTTTAATTGAAGAATGAAGGTAGAATTGCTTTCCGCTAAAGCAAAGAAATAAATATTCATCTGGCCAAAAACTTTGAATTTACCTGCCGAAAGTTAAACTACGAGAAAGGATCACCTGGTTTTCTTTTACTTTGTGTTTCTTTATGTAAAAAGAAGATGAATGATGCTCATTGAAGAAAACAAAATCCCTGAATCACATGCATATTCAAAGCATCGATTGGATATGGTGAAATCACATTCTGATCCATGTTTAATCAAGGTAGAGATAGTACGCTAGGTAAAAACAAGTCAGTTGAAACTGATTTCAACTCTTCCAGAGATAAACACAATTGTGAAACGGAGACCCTCTGTTTAGAGTACCCTTGTATGGCTAGTAAGCATTACAGTTTGGTGTGAATAGTTAGTGGCTACTTCAATCAGTCAGTGGAATATATTCGACTGCATTATAATGACTAAAAATTGTCATTCTTGCATTGAAGTCAAATCAATCTGTCTTTCCAGGAATTTACTTCCCTACTCCAGAATAAATTGATGTTTCATATTTACACTAACCTACTGACAAATTTTCTATCTCATCTCTTATCTTCCTGGCTAGATTTTTCCAGTCCATGCGTTCCTAGTGGAATGTACGGCTTGAGGTTTCAAAGTTTCAGTAGCGGTGGTGTTGCTTTTATGGGGTGGAGTGTCTAGCCCTTCGCCCATCCTTATCTCTCTCCTGGACTTACTACAGGCCACTTCATCAGTAAAGGTTAGTGAATCCCTAGAACGGGAATCGAACCTGGCCCACTTGCGTTTGTGGACGTTCGACCATTAATTCACCGACGTACGAGGCACTATCCATTAGGTTGGTAGAGTCACATATTGGCTAGCATCAGACATTAATGACAAAACACTTTGAATTTCATGACTCAAAATGAATCACCGATGAAAGGCCAATCGTTGTCTTTTATTACTGATTTTATATTCCTGTGAATATTTTTAGCATTTTAGTCATTCTTTTAGCATAGTTATCATTTACAACTGAAAGTGAACATGCACCTTAACTAACTAATACATCCTTCACTTCACTTGTCTTCTTATCACACCAAGTCATGCAAACTGTATGCCACAACACAGTAGATTGGGACCAAAGCTTAGTCGTCTTACTCATCCTTTGATACAGTGTAGGGATTGTGACAGAAAATATCTAGTCGATCATGGAAAACTGACAGTATGCACACTAAATATTTCATACAATGTCAACAGATGTTAGAGCAAGACAAGGAGAGTAGATGAGAATTATTTATTTTCTGTACTGTCCGACCAATTTATGCTGGCATTTGTCGAAATAATTATTATTATTTCCTTTAGTTCCTAGAGGAACATAGGGCTTCAGCCATGCGTCTCCATTGCGTTCGGTTCTCTGCTAGAGTTTTCACCTGACTCCAGGTCTGCCCACATGCTTTCATCTCCTCTTCACATGATCTCCTCCAGGTCACCCTTGGACGACCAACTCGTCGCTTCCCTTTCGGGTTCCACTCGAGCAATGGCTTGTCTAGTGATGTCACTTGCTGGTTTCCTCAGAGTGTGGCCAATCCATCTCCATTTCTTCCTGCCTATTTGTTTCACAATCGGTTCCTGGTTGGTTCGCTCCCAGAGATCTTTGTTGCTGATCCTTTCCGGCCATCTGATCTTGAGTATTGAGCGAAGACATCTGTTAATGAAGGTCTGTAGCTTGTTTGAGGTGCTTTTTGTGACACGCCAAGTCT